GTTTCCAATGAAAAACCTTCTGTTCTGATATTAAAGTTGATGATACATCTTGTGATGCTTTTGATGCTTTGCATCGGATCATGTTGAGTTAATTTTTTTTGACATATTTGATTCTTTGTTTGAAAAATACTGATGTTCCTGTTTCTAGCACATTATTCATATGCAGGTAAAAGTAGCAGAAGATGAGAACAAGGAGAAACACCATGAACAAACCAACATCTCCTTGAGCTCTGAATCTGTTGCTTCGAACTCAACTGCTTCTGATCAAACCTGTGTTGAGAAATAAAGACCACCAATTCCAGCGAAACAGAGTGCCTCCTGCAATTGTGCTTGTGGGAACAATAAGAGACAAGGCAAGGATACGCCACCAAGGGCAGGAAGAAACAACTTTACAGTGAAGAAAAAGACATGTTTTCACTGTGGAACACCTGGACACATTGCCAGAAATTGTCCAAATCGCGCATACGTTCCTTACTATGCACAAGGCTGACAGAACGCGCCAAGAGGGAGATACTTCAAAAGAAACCCCTCAAGGTCACGTTCAGACCATGGTGTCTGGAACACGCGGAAGACCAAGAATCAATCCCACAAGGCCAAGAATCCGAATCCCAAGGGCAAGAAGGGAATCCCGGCCAAGAAGCCAAATCCAAGAGATGCTCCCGTGAAGCCAAAATCAAAGTCATCTCAACGGCCGACGTCAAGATCAAAACCAAGTACTGAGCCACCCATCAGATCGAAAAAGAAATGGGTTAAACCCAACTACAAATGGGTTCCAAAGGCTCACTCTCCCAAATCAACTAATGACTCTAATATTTCTTCATCTTCTGTTTGTGATAAACAGGATATGTCATGGGAGAGAGTACCGTGCAAGGATGACAAAGGTCGACCCAGTTTCAAAATGGACTGGGTTCCAAAGACCAACTGATCCCGCTTTGTATTGGAGCAGCTATGGAGGCATATCATCAGACTTCGGTTTGTTGGTAGTGGCTGTTCCTGGCACATGATAGGAGACATCTCTCAACTGTACAACACTCAGAACATTGTTTGGGAGTATGTGTCCTTTTCGGGAAAAGAAGAAAGGAAGAGATCACAAACGGGGTTAGTGCTTAATGACATGAAGAATTTTCGGATTTGTTCTGAGATTACGCGTGTTGTTCTCATACCTTCTGGATGCAAATTCAATCGGTGACTTACGGTTTTGAGTTTTCCTCTCTATACTCCTGAGTTTTTCTTAAGCTGATTCGCTTTAAAGACTAATTTTTGTTTTAGGATAGTTTAAATTTGTGCATTTACTTTCGTTTCTCTCCTATGCACAAATTTAGGGGGAGAAATAAAAACAAAACAAAAATTAGAAAATTTAAAAAAAAATCCAAAAACATTAGAAAATCAAAAAATCAAAAAAAAAAGTTGGTTATGGAATGTGCTTGAGGGATGTTTTGGGAAGTGATATAATCATGTGATAACAGGCAATCTGAATCTGTGTAAGGACTGAATCTGAATTGTCTAGGCTCTGTGTTCGATGCGCTGGTAGGCACGAGAGATTAAAATGGACTTGACTTGGCTTGGTGAACTTAAGGAATCTAGAGACTTGAAAAATCTTGACCTAAATAGATCCATTTAGCCTGACAATACGCCGCTCAGATAGGTTGAGCAGGGAGATATACATGATAATCCACCGGTCACATTAAAGTTCCGTATCTAGAACTGTTGTTTAACTCTCTCGATGTACGGACTTTGTCCTTAATTCCGGTATTGATGGGGCGACTGGGGAATTCCGAGATAAAGTAGTCTGTAGAAAATTATTTTCTTGCTTTCCTTCTGTTAGTCATATGTTGTCTCCTCTGCGTGATTGAAATACATCCGACCTGGACTGCAACATATGCAACTCTATTTCTATGCATCTTCTATCTATGCAATTCTTCCTGTCTGTTAGTCATATGCTGTCTCCTTTGCGTGATTGAAATACATCCGACCTGGTACACAACATATGCACCATTCTACTTCTCAATCCCTCTAAAACTTCAGTTAGTCATATGTTCCACCCTCTGCGTGATTGGAAGAGATCCGACCTGGGTGTATAGCATATGCATTCTAAATCTATATTCTCTCTTAATGATTGTCTGCTCAACCCGATGTAAGGAGTATTCTGGAAGTCCTTGATTACTGGAGCATATCAGGAAGCGGGAAACATGTTCCAGTAAAATTAAAATTGAACACTCACAGATTGTCTATAGATCTCGCTGCTCAATTTAGGTGGACAACAATATCTTTGGTCGTCGTCAGCTGAATGGTCCTTAAGGAATATTATCTAGGAACTTAGGATCACATTGTCTTGTCACTTATAGTATGTCCTAATTTTGTTGCAATCTCTCGTGTTTAAGTGGAACACAATACCGGCGATTGACCAGATCTATTAATGAAGGGAGAGGTACTGATAAACGGATAAAGGCTGTCTAAAAACTTTGATCCCAAATCACTCTTAAAGTTAGATATCATTTTATTTTTGTTAAATTTGTTCATAGTTTTCTTCTAATTTAAATATTAGGGGAGAATTAAAAATTTTAAAATCCAAACAAAAATAAAAAAATTAAAATAAAAAAAAATCCAAAAATAGTGTTATTTCTGTTTTATTTCTTTTTCAGAAAATATGAAAAATCCAAAAAATATTGTGTGCTAAATTTTTCTTTTAGTTTTGTTTTGTCTTGAAAAGTGAATTCAGGTGAAGATGAAACTCATGGAGTTTGTGTCGAAGATTTCTGAGCCAAGGCTTCATCCGTGATCATCGAAGAATTCTCATTCGAAGGAGCAAGAAATGAAGATTATTCTTTCGACATTCAATCTTTCAACCCCAGAAGCAAGGTGAAGCTGCACTTGAAGATTAGGTGACGGATTGCATTGAAGCCTCCTCAATCAGTCTGCTGCTATCTATGAACCTGCTGAAGTGATCCAGAAGATTTGTTCTCTCTGATGTTCTCTCTGAAGATTCTCAAACTGAAAGCGCTATCTTTCAAGAATTATTACGTCAAGCCTCCTCACCCAATGTGCGTTCAATGTCAAATATTGAAGAAATGCCCAAGTGCTCAAGATGAAGTCATTCATTGAAGATAAATGCTGAAGCCAAGCTTACAATGAAGATGAACAAGAAAGCCAGCTACTTTTTAGGGGGAGCTTGTTGGGTCATTTAAGAAAAGAAAAGAAAGCTATAAACCAAGGGGGAGATTGTTGGGTAAAAAATATGGTTTATACTTTGCTTTTCTAGGAAAATGTATTTTTGTGTCTTGGACCGTAAACAGCTTGGTGTTTACGGTCGTATACGTGTTTACGGCCGTAAACAGGTTTACGGCTGTAAACCCATTTACGGCCCATGTTCACCAAGCCCATGTTTCTTATGTATAAATATAGGTGTAAGGGGTGAGGAGTAGAGTGATGAACAAGAAAGGCTTATGTGTGTGTATTTTGAAGGTGTTCTAGAGAGAGAGAAAAGAGAGTGTGTGTAAGTGTGTGTGAATCTTGTATCCGGATCTTCATTCATATCAATACATACAAGATTCATCATCTTCTTCTTCTCCTTCTCTTCTATTTGATATGACATCATCCGTTTGATTGGGATTCTGCACCATCAAACGGATCTGATTGATACACAAGCAGATTAGGGACTTACAAAGATTCAGGCGTCCTAGGAGACGTCTAAGACGCCGACGGGCTGCCCATTTTTTTCCCCGACGAAATCCCATGCGAAATTACCAAAATGCCCCTATTTGTGAGAGACTTCCTAGGACGCGTCTAAGACGCCGGCTAGGACGCCAACGCATTTTTCAGCCATTTTAGGTTCATTTTCTGCACAATTCTTTCCCACTTCCTTTTCCAAACTGCCATGGCCGAGAATACCCATTAAAACCCAATTTTTTTTATTTCTTCCTCAAAACTCAACCAAAACTCTTGATTTTTGTTGCAATCTTTAAGAAATCAAGTGACAAACATCACATTACAAGATTTTCACACTCAAATCACTTCTTTTAGCCGATTTTTAAAACCCACAAAAATTAGGGCTTTGAATTTTGGACTTATTTTCGGGTTTTTGCTTCAAGTTAGAGCTTCTTCTTCACTAGAAACATCATATAAACAAGGTATGTGCTTCAAAACTCTATCTTTTAGGCTAATTTTTAAATTTCTCTTGTATGTTCATATATGGTAGAAATTTTGAATTTTTCTTGGAAATATGACATATAATGGTATAAAATCTATAAATTGGTGTTTGTAGTTATTAATAGTATGTTCCAAACAAGTTGCATGTGTTGATTTGAGAATTTTCTGAAAATTGAATTTTTGTTGTTAATTGTTAAAAATAAAAAATGCACATATAAGTTGGAAAATCATTGTTACGATTACACTTGAGAATAACACTGAATTTTGCCACTGCATTGTTAGTCTGAATATTTATCTTTTACAGTTATGTTCTAGTTTTAGTTAGAACTTGTCAATTGCAGTTAACCTTTGGTTTAGCTGTGTTTTTACTGATTGGATAAATTTTTGAAAAATATTTAGTTACTGAAAACATAACAGGACTTAAAACAGTTATTTATTCAGACTGCGTTTAAATTAACTGTGTTTGGAACAGCTTGCCAATTGAATATTTGTTTTATTTTTGTGACACTTATGTGTTTAATGGCAAGTTTTGTTTTGTGGTTTTGTGTGTGATTGATTTTGCAGATGTCAGTAAAGAGATCAAGGGTAGCATCATCAAGCAGTGCAGCCAGGCAAACTGCGAGACAACTAGTCAGACAGCCGGAACCAAATGTACCTGTGGCTTTTAACCCACAGTATCAGACACTTCATGAGCATCCAGATGATATCCGCCCGACAGTTTATGAGGCGACTCATCCGATTATTGGATTTATTATGGAGTACATGGTGGAGCGACCGAGCTGCATTGGGTACAATATTGTGGAGAGTTTGATCGTTATGGATGGGGTGGAGCGTTGGACTTTAATCCCACACAAATTTATGTTGATATAGTGCGAGAATGGATGAGGACACTTCGACGTGTCGGGGTGCCTGGTAGGCCGGAGGAGTTGCATCTGATTGGTACGTTTCGTACTCATGATATAGTGATGACTGTGCAGGGTATTCATGACATGTTCCATGTAGATACTGGATATCATCTGCATGATCTTGAGAATCAGCCGACTGAGTATAGATGTATTGACATGAGGGGGGTAACCCTAGGGTTATCATGGCAGCGTATCCAGAACAGAGTCACCACCCCCCATGTCGCCATGATATCGACATATGTGACTAGGGAGCTGGGGAATAGGATTAGGGTCCCACGAGCTACATCGTACCAGCGTATCCTTCGCCCCACTGCTACTTCTTTCAGACACATCTCGTTTCATGTTGAAAATAGGATGCATACTCTGATGGATTCTGCCACGAATCTGACATACACAACACCACTCGGAGTGGAGGATGAGGAGCCACTTGTTGGTGATTTTTAGGGTGATCAGCAGCAGCAACAGGGACATGCAGCAGGTCAGGGATGGAACATGTGGACAACATGAGAGGACTTTGTAGGGAGGAAAAACACGCATAACCAGCAGGTTCAGACTTTCATGGGGAGAACAAATCTGTGGATGGAGGGAGTCGACATGATACTAGCTGATCTTACTGAGAAGATACGACAGATCGGCATTACAGCTGACAACACTTATATTGTTGCCACTCGTCAGTTGTACCAGCAGGAGTACTATGTATATGCCGCCTACAGACAGAGTTCTGTCCAGTATAAACCGATGAACATTGATCAACCACATTATCGATATCGAGCTCCAGCTCCGGTTTTCTACCGATCTGGGGATCCGAGCAATTATCCACCGCCATCCGAGTATGAGCATTATCAGCCACCACCAGCTACAGAGTACTCTACTCACTTTGAGGATTTAGCTGGATCGATCTTTGGGTATCCTCCACCATACCCATGATATCCTCCACAGTCGCCCCCGCAGTGAACTTTGGTGAGATCCTCTCTTGATTTTTATTTTTATGGTTGTGTGATGAAGACTTTTTATTTTTATTTTTATTTTTATTTTTATTTTTCGTTTGATTTTCATGTCTTTATTTGGGATGAATGTACTGCTATCTTAAACTCATTATTATTGTTATTATTCTCTCTTGGTTTGGTTCTATGAAATATGTGATGAGTTAGTAGCATCTCTATATCTTTAATGTAAATCATCAAGATGGAAAATGATAGGAGTTTCGTACATCGAGTCATAATATTTGTTTAATATTGATTTTGTGGGTTGCTCAGCCGGTTTGGGAATATTTATATTTATTTAAAAAATGTTATGTGAAATACCCAAGTTTGAAAAATGAAGGTTTTTGGCTCGAGCCTACGATCTTTCAATTGAGGACCCAACCGAACAATATGTGCCATCATGCTCTGAGTACTTGGTCTTACTTACTCCTGCGCCTTTGGGGTTAGGAGGGGACTATTATTGTTTTCACACAACCAAAAAGCATCAAAAGACATTAAAGAACTTCCAAGTATCTATATTCAAGCTCAAGTCAAATACAAAGATGATCAAATCTGATGAAGCCATCAAAGAACTTGAAGAATGCACAATCATGATAAATATGAAGAAAAGTTCAAATTGAAGACATTATGTGAAACAATATGTGACCCCTCGATAGCGGGAGTGTATGCGTTGGTCCATTAAGTGTTACCGACCGCGCTAACTATGTTAGTGAATCTTGAAAACGGGACTTTGGCAATGAGTTCAACTGACTACTCATGAGGTTGATTATTGGAAAGGGTTCAAAAACTGGATGGTTTCAAACAACAAAGTAAAATAAGCATAACATGTATTTTGAGTTTAAAAGTCCGGATAAGCAACTAATAATCCTCAAAATCAATATATTGTGCTATTGAAAATATTATGATAAAATGTATAGAATTCATGATTCCATTGAGTTTTTCTTAGGATGAGAGATTAAGACTACGTTGATTATTTATGGCCAACCTCGGGACGAGTTTGGAATAAAGTTGGGGAGGTTTGATAAGTCTATTTTATGAATGTACTAAATTGTCATAAATCTGTTGAATTGATGTATAATTGTCCAAGAATGGCACTACTTTGATGAGTTGTTGAACTTCATATGCAAGTCAATATATTATACTAAAAGTAGGTGGAACCTGCAAGTAAAATGAATTGCTAATTGATTGTTTGGGCTTTAGTGGCCATGTCAGTTTGAGTTTGAATGGTACAGACGTAGGTGAGTTAATTGATTTTAAGGTCTCGATATCCTTATTTTAGGTAGTGCCAGTTGAGTCACGGGACTCAAAAAAGAAGCGATTGTTATGATCGGCTCGAGGATTGCAGTCAGAGGCTGAGTGATTGGCAGATGGATCGGAATGTCACTATCTTCGGCAAAGGCTATGTTCTTTCAACTTTCCTTATTTAGAGGAGAGGTAAATCAGACATCTGATTCTCAGAGTTGGGATGTAGACCCAGCATGGGACTATATGGTTGTGGTTTTTGGAGGCATTATGGCAGTGAATGCACAAGAGGATTCTTGCGGTATGGTTGCCTTGAGATGAGATCAGGGGTATGCTTTCTTTGGATATAGGCTGGTCATGTGCTAGATGATGATTCTAGGTGATCATGGAAGTGAATTAGGAGCAACAAATTTTGTTGTCTCTGATGTATACTGACTATGGGAATGATACCTTTTGTATTTATGAATGATTCTCACGATGAATTGATGGTTGGGGATTTGCAGGCGAAGAGTATGGTAGTCCATTTATTTCTAGATAGGATGTTGGTGGTCTGAATGGATTGTCAGAATTGTTTTTTATGTACCTATATGGGATTCTTGATGATAGAAACAATCATTATTGGGGAGTTCCTGAGGTCTCCATCTGAGATTCATAATCTCTTTGAGTTGGCTTGGTGTTTATCTGGAAGATCATCTTGCATGGTGTTATACATTCCAAGGGTCAGGGAATGATATGTATCTGGGTGAGACGGTTTGAGTTTCGGTCTTTTTGCGATGTCAGTTGGTGGTAGTTCGAACCCTAAGTGGAGGAGAGCTGCATATTCTACTCGGAGAATCATCGATCTGTTCAAGTTATGACTTCAGAGGAATGGGATAGAGGGATTTGCGGTTCGGGTATTTGAAACTTTGGTTCAGGATTTGGTCAAGACGGAGGTGCATAGCAAGTTGCCATCAGATGTATGTGTTCAAGAATGAAAGGGTTGTCTTCACGACAAGAAGTTGTTGGACAAGCAGCTCGTTGTAGCCAGTGGTTCCTTTTGGGAATGTCAAGGAATAGGTCAAGAGGCATTTGGGTCTCTCAGGTTGAGTATCGATTGTTGAGGGATTTTTCAGCTTGTTATATATATATATATATATTATATATATATATATATATATATATATTATATATATATATATTAATATATATATATATATAATATATATATATTGATATCTATAGTCTAGGATGGACAGTTGTTGATCGGTCAACCAATTTCAAAGTTAGGTAGTTTTAGTCCCTATTGGGCTTTGTCCAGTAGTGTATTGGATCAATGGATTAGTTGTCAATGCACTCCCAATCGTTGGTGTTTTTTCTCATTATCAATAGCAAAGGTTCTTCGGATGTTTAGATTTGCATCAGTTGGAGTTCAATGGATGCGTCAACATATTGTCAAGATCTGTACATTGTATATTTTGGTTTCTGTGTATGGGTACCCTCAATGGTTGGTTGTGAAATTATTAATCATAGTAGGCTCGAGTTTGGCAGATGTCCTTGGTTATTGGAAGTTTGGGTGTTGGGGCAGTGTTGATTTGTTTTTAGGTGTGGTTTTGGATCTGCACAAAATCCAAATTTTGGCATGTCGCGTCGGCAGGATTTGCAGTGGGATTGAGCTGACCAGGGTTTTGATAGTATTTCTGATAGCTTTGGAAGTTTTATTAAGCTAGTTGTGTATAGGTAGGATCTGTTTGGTTTCAATCAAGGTGTGGGATCTTAGTTTCGCCCATTCATGTGATGTTTCTATTAGCAGTTGTAGTTCGTCATTTCCGTTAAATCTACTAATACCACACCCAATGGGTCAGGTTTTTGAGGAAGAAGGACTGTAGTAGATTTAGGGTCGGTTACTGTCATCCCTTGGGGATATATGTAGGTTAAATAAGACAGCATGAGAACACTTGGCTCGATTTATTGGCATGGTGCTTAATTGGTTTGTAGCCCTTAATTGGAAAAAAGTGCAACCGCCTATCTCATTCTCAAGTTGTGTGCGACCATTTTTTTGCCTGATTTTGCATTAGTAGCCATCTGTACTATGAAAGGATTTATGCTCGATAGAAAGGTGTGGCCATATTTGTGTTCGGTTAGCATTGGGAAGGATGTTGATTGGGTTCCTGCATGTCGTTGGATTGATGGTTGGGTATCTTTAGGCCCCCATAGTTCTGGTCGTGAGTCTTCAGGCCGTTGATGGGATGACGACAAGATCAACATAGTATCGTGAGCTTATCGTTTAGAGGTGAGCAGCTATCACGCTATATCGTGAAGTAGTGGCTTTATGATTCATATGGATGCAGTGGCGGAGCTTCAATATTTCATTTGGGGGGGCCGAAAATATAATTTGTATAAAAATTGGTGAACAGGGGGGGCATAGTCAAAATTTTATATTTTTGGACTAAATATGTATAAAGTTAAAGCATAGGGACTATTTATGCCAAAAAAATCAGGGGGGCCACAGCCCCCTAGCCCTTGAAAAGATCTGCCCCTGTATGGATAGGACCAGGTATTCTTTTTATTTAAGACTCTTAGGTCTCGAATCGTTTGTATTCTTGACATGTTTGGGTGTTAGTGCATTGTGGGAGTTGAGAGACTCAGTGGCCAGCTAGTTTGGATCATGTGGGCAGTTAAAGGTTGTTGGGAGTAAAAGTTGTGCGTCAGAAGTCTCTTGTGGAGTGTTTGCATTATGAACCCCGTTTGCTTGCAGGATGTT